TACCAACACTGGTCCTCAGTGCAAACAGATAAAGACTTGAGGCCCGCTCATACCAAGAACTATAAAGATAACTACTGTATATTAGCATCCACACCAGGGCACGATATGTGTCTGTTTATTCTAAGCACGCTTGTATAGATGGAATTTGTCAATTGGCTGTCAAAGTTTTTATCGCTCATCAGCTGGAGAAAAAGCACACTTATATAAATAATTGAAAATAATTCGCATCAATTAACTAAATATTTCACTACCAAAAAAAAAGCAAAAACTCAATTTAATTAGTCTTTTTTTTTTACCAGTTCATTGAAATTAATATGGAATATTTGGTTTGTGTGAGTCTGAGGTGTTGAGAGAGATTTGACTTTCACTGGTCGTGTTGTCTTCGTGTTCAGACGTTTGACCCTTTGAGCTCCAGTGGGGGGTTTAGTTTCCATCTATAGCATCAGACGGGCGTTTCTTTCAGGGAGATTCGCTCTGTAGACAGGTGTCACTTCACCAGCTCTCTGTCGGACTTTTACAAGCAGTGATTTATATACAAGCAGAGATTCCTGAGCAGTTTACCAGAATAATGACCGACCAGTCACATACACACGGACGTGTTAGAAGAGACTGGACAACTTCATTGAACAATATTTTAGCAGTAACATCAGCGTTTTCACTAAAAGGTGTAAGGTAGTGGTTAAAGTCCAGGCTGCTCACCAGAGGGTTGCTGGTTCTAATCCTGCGAGATCAGATGTAAGATGAGCTCTAACTGAGGATTATCTCTGTAATAAGTGAACTGTGAGTCACTTTGAATCGAAGCATCTGTTAAATGACCTGTTACTTATTTACTTAGCGGTAAAATTAACACTCGCAGAGTGACACTGTGACAGACGCTTGTGTCCTTACAATTTTGTATTTCCTCCTTAAATGTCGAAACCATAGGTCGAAACTCAAGAATGCTCAGTGTTCAATCACTAAAATATAGTTGTAACCATAGACAGTAAAAGAAATGGACAGAGCGATCTCATTGGAACTCAGTTGAGACAGTTGAAGCCCACTTTTAGCGATTTTTGAGCACTTCCGTTCCTGACGCGCAGACTCAAACCGACTCAAACTAAGCTTGATGACGTGAGCAACCTGTCTGACAGACGTTAATCTTCTAGTAGCTGTGCGTGAAAACTGCCAACGTTAATCTGGCAGAGACGGGGAACTTGAGCAAAGAGTTCTTTGGCGTGAGTGAGCAGGAGTAAGTATCCCGTTGCTTTTATGAACTCATTATCTATGGGCTTCTCCCTTGACGGGACGTCCCCCCGATTGCCTGCGAGCTTCTCCTCCTGTCTGTACGGTAATTTCTGTACAGCGCGACAGAGAGTCGAGTGGTTATGACGCAATCGTTAGCCTATTTTTACTAAATCTGTTTCTACGGGGCCATAATGTAACATAGAAGGTAATGGAGCCCTTTATACATTGTCGTCTTTCTTTAGAAATAAATAATGGACAAATGGAGTCTTTAAACGCCTCAGATGTAAAGTTATTCGCTGTCAAAGTGACGCCAAAATGAATGGGAGTCAATGGAAATGCTAACGCAAGTGAAGTTCTGATACAACATGGCGGCACCCGGCCGGCTTCAACTTCCGGTCGATGGATTACCCCCTTGGTTGTAACTGAGTTATGATCTGGCAAAGCGTCATAGACAAATCATTTCCAGAGGGGCGTCACCAACGGACGTCGCGGATAGACCTAAACCCAATCAGAGCGATGAAGGAGATGACGTATGCAGAGCGGCGGAGAAACATCTCCGAGTGTTGTTCTTTGCTCGGTTTTTAACAAAAAGGAAACGTTCAAATCGCTTAAAACAGACGCGATAGCTGATTCGAACGAGTGATGTTCGACGGCGGCATCCATCTTTGTAATGTAGGCTACAAAATCTGCTTCAAAATCCCAGCGCTGTCGTCATCGTGTAAAGCCCGCCCCAACGTTTCTGATTGGTGCCGGGATTTCGGCGGATTGGAAATGGGCTTGCATGAGCTCTTCGCCAGACTAACTTTCAGAGCAAATCTAAATTTGCCGGAAGTTGTCTGGGTTTTCCCAGGCTAACTAAAATATACACTTAAAATAAAATAAACACTCACTGAAATAAAATAAAAACTTACAGCTAGTATCTAAATATTTCAGCTAGTTGAAATATTTACTAAAATAACTAAAAATAAAAGTAAAGTTTAAAACTAAAATTGATAAAAAGCACACAACAGAATGACTAAATGTTTAACTAAAATTAAAATGAACAATATGAAAATAAAAACAGTGTCTCAGTGATACTAAAATAACACTGCTTCTAAGCTGGTCATTTGTCTCAACTCACTTTCCTTTGTGACAAAACATTTATTTTGGACTGACATCATCATCATGCTGAAAACCAAGTAAAATTCATGCATGAGTGACAAACACACACCGCTCCATCATTCTCAGCACTTTATAGCACCGCTGCTCTTAGGTCTCTGACAGCGCTTGTCAACTTTAAATCTGCTCATATCCAAACACACACGACGACACATCTAATCTGAGAAGAGAGGATATACTTACTCGCTATCAATCATAAAGTAGTAGAGACAAACAAAGACAGAGATTATCCAGCTAAACTCTGTGTGTGTGTGATTTGATGGATCTCTGAGCGCCTGTCCTCTTGTTTCTCGCTGTGTTTTGATGCCTGTGATCTCATGCAGGGTTTCACGCGTCTCAGGGGTTAGGAGAGGGCTGGCTGCCCACCTTACTGCTGCTCAGAGACTACAACATCCCATCCGTGTTCACTATGTACAAGTAGGTGACGCACAGACATACTCGAATTATGTGTTTACATGCATGCATATTCCAGGGTTTTGAAATAAGATTTTTTTTTTCTTTTCAAACCCAAGGTCATGGGTTTGATTCCAGGGAGTGCATGAAAATAATATATGCATTGAAATGCAATGCAAGTCTCTTGTATAAAATTACACCAATCAGAGAGTCGAAAAAAAGCCAATAGCTCTTCAGCTATAACAGTGGGCGGAGCCTACGTGTCAGAAAGTGGCAGTTGGATGCTTGTTTTCACAACGTATTGCAAAAAAATAAATAAAAAGGACAAGTTTATATCTCCCAATTCTAACTTTTTCCTTGCAATTCTGAGTTTAGATCTCACAATCAGACTTACAAGATACAAACTCGCATTTCTGATTTTTATTCTCAGAATTGTGAGATATAAACTCAGAATTGCGAGGAAATTAAGTCAGAATTGTGATATAAAAATATTATTTCATGTAGTAACTGTAGGGCTAATACATATAGCTCTGAACAGCATATGAATATTACACTGCCTGGCCAAGGAAAACAACTCGCTGTTTGGATTTAAATGCTTAAGAGTCTATGATTGGATGATTATTGCAGTGATTATTATGTTTCTAACTTTGGCAACAGTTCTTCTAACTCTAACTGAAGCAGTGTGTAGCTTTTCATTTCTTAAACAAGCATGTAGGAAGAACATCATGTTCATATTCCAGGATGACAATATCAGGAAATAAATCAATTTCATTGATGTAAATAAATGATCTGGTGTTATTTTCATCAAGATCTTGTGTTGTCAATGCAAGAGTCCAGCACTCTGTAAAGTCTCCTCCAGCACATCCCAAAGACTTCAATGAATTTAAGCTCTGGATTCATGTGTGGAAATGATTCTTCAAGCTCCTCACAACCATTCTTTCACAATCTGAGCCTGATGAATCTGGATATTATCATCCTGGAATATGAACATGATGTTCCTACATGGTTGTTTCAGATACTGTCCATAACTGTCAGTCATCTTCTCTGCTGTGTCTCTGTGTTGCAGTGATGCAGAGCTGCAATATTCCTTGCAGATTCTCAAAGAACTTGAGATGGACGTTAAAGACACCGGACCGAATCCCTTTAGCTCCCAGAAACCCGAGCAGGTCCAGACCAGCCCAAACAAACCCCCCAGTTACTGCAACGCTTTTTATATTTACTTTCAGGGTCTGCTGGAGACACAACTGGAGGAAGAGTAGATTTACAGAGACCTTTGCTTTCTGAATGCATTTCTCACAAAAGTCACCACATGTCTTTACTCTTTGGACATCAGTCACATCTTTAAAAAGTCGCAAATAATACCCTGTTAGAGCCATCTTAATTTCCTTTGAGTTGTCTATTGGAATTAGAGTAGAATATTTGTCTATATAATCAGAGGGTGAAATTTCTATTTACCTTTTTGTCATTTCTTTGAGCTGAAAACCTCTCCCTAGTGTTGCAAACCGGTCACTGCACCTAGATAACACCTGTAGGGTCCTGCTTAAAGGGATTTAGTAGTCAGCCCAAGATGCCTGTCAGTAAAACACAAACATTTTTCCACCACATGGCGGTAGGTTGTCAGTTTTATTTTTATTTTCTCTTTGGATAAAATCTTGAATGGAAATAAATGGATTATACTTAGGCTGCCTCAAGCGTGTTGACTGGAAACTGGCTGGCGCAGGCTCATACACTAAAAGGAAAATATTACAGTTTATTATGCGATTACAGTATTTAATTTAAGAAATGTTTCAAGAAACAAATGTTTAATCTAAAACTGCTGTTATTTGCTTGCAGCACAATTTATTAAACTTTAGCGCCCTCTAGTGCTTAAATCTGCCATGACATTTTCTTTATTCGCTCATATTATATTATATTATTTTAATTATGAGCTTTTAATTTTAAAACAAAAGGTCTGTTTTGATTCCCGAGTCAGAACTTGTGTCAGATTGTGTATTATCATTGTTTTAATTTAGATTATTTATTTGATATGAAAGTAGTATTCTGAAGCTAATAAATGTATAAGCAAATAAAGAAACGTGTCTGTCTGTCATTGAAAGCGCAACAGGGCTTATATATATATTATTTATTTATTTATTTTAGTTTTTTAATAACACTGTCGGAGAGATTGATGAGAATGTACGTAGACACCCCGAGAATCATCTTCTCCCAGAAGCCTCCAGAAAAACACTCGCACAGGCGCGCGCGGGTATAAAACACCGACAGACCCGCTAACTAACATCGTCTCAGCTTCACTTCATCTGTCAACGTGTGACCGTAAACAATGAACGACTCCAGCAGGTAAGACACACGTTTTAAAACCATGCTCTGACTGTAAAATTACTGTGAATAAAGTGTGTAGTACTTCACTGTAAGACAGGCGAGGTCACGTGATCCATTCCAGTCTGGATTCATTACGTTTACCTTATGCACTGACAAACGTGCACTTTTTAACGTTTTTAATCGCTAAGCAGACGTGGATCATGTAAAGGATTATTATTAGTTATTTATTGAAATAGTTCAAGAGTTTATAATTTAGTTATTTCTTTATGTGTTTGTTGATTGCATACATATGCTCATATTCGTGTATTAAAGAAGCTGTGTGTCTTATAACGTTTGTCTCAGCTGTCTCTCACTGCATGCTGGATGATATTTTGAGATGTGATATAAATATCCCAGCAGCTGTCTGTGCTTCTCTTCATTCACTCCGGCCTCACGAATGCTCTCAACTATTGTTTAGTAGCCTAATTAAATAAAATACAGGACAATCTGCTGTTTATACATTAATAATATTACTGCTTCATTTGTTTTTATTAAAAGAGCAGGGGTTTGCAAAACAAGAATATAGGCTAATAGCACTACACAATCACTGAATCTCTCTGGTGTTCACATTCACTCCGAATTATATGGTCTTTATTAGAAATCAATCTTACTCTTGCAATAACACTAGTTGTTGTATATGTTGGATATGCTGTCGTTTCCAATGCCAAAGTTTATAGTGAACTTTATCAATATTAACATGACCTGCATAGGCCCAAACATATACACAATTGAGTGTTTAGTTTCTAAATGTCACTTAATAATTCACAGCACAAAACATACCATGTTTATAATCTTACAGCAAGTGAACCTGTATTTAATGTTGTGTATGTCATGTTTAATTTGACATATACAATATGTATAGTTTTGCGTCTTGTTTTTGAGCTTCATCTGTCTAATTTGACTTGCTTTGACACATAATATATTAATTTGTGCAAAAAAAAACATACTGTAGAGTTTGGACATAAATACACTACTGTTGAAAAGTTTGAGGTCGGTAAGATTTTTGTATGTTTTTGAAGAAGTCTCTTATGCTATTTGATCCAAAATAAAGTAAAAACAGTAATAATGCGAAATATATTTAAAATAACTGTTTTCTATTTGAATATATTCTCACATGTAATTCAATTTATTCCTGTGATGTAAAGCTGAATTTTCAGCTTTCATTTGCATTTATTTCCCCCCATTATCAGAATAGATCTGATTTACATCTCTCTCTCTCTCTCTCTCTCTCTCTCTCTCTCTCTCTCTCTCTCTCTCTCTCTCTCTCTCTCTCTCTCTCTCTCTCTCTCTCTCTCTCTCTCTCTCTCCAGTGTTTCACACAGCAAGGCCAATAAGCCTCTTACGTTCCGCTCAACGAAGGAGATGTTTGAGAAAATGGAGGAATCATTCAAAATATGTGCGCGGTGTGAGAGAGTCCCATCACAGGTCCCGGGTCCGCTAAAGCGATGCACACGGTACAATGACGTGATGATTATGAAGAGGCGAGGCTGCATGTAATATCTCACATCTTCTATAATCACATCTATATCTCTGTCTTGTGCAGCTGTCTGAATGTGTATTACTGCAGTAAAGAGTGTCAGAAGAAAGACTGGCCTCAACATAAACTCTACTGCAACAAACTGTGCATGGCGGCGGTGGACAGACACGTCGAGTGGATCCTTTTTAAAGGTGAGGATGATAAAGTCTTTTTAGCACAACCCATGTTTATTTCAAATCATTCCTAATATCCAATAGGAGATCTTCCTTTCCATACGGAGGTGTGGTCTCGTCCTGCTAACAAAGTAAGTTGTTGGAAGGACTGGTTGTCTATGCAAGGAGATCTGACACCCCGTCTGGAGCCAATCCTGTCCGGGAAAAACATGACAGATCTCTGGACCAATGGCTGCAGGCCGAGGCCCGAGGAGGCGGAGCTTCGTGAGTCTGTGTGGCGGGTGTGCAGCGAGTTCTTCTCTCGGCCCCTGACGGTTGGAATGGGACTGAGGATGTTTAACTTGGATCCGTACTCTCGGCCCCTCACCATCCACGTGGTCGGAGCCGGTCACAACGAGACGCTGGGAGCCAGAGTCTCCGACATGGACGAGCTCAGCCGCATGTTCCCGGGGCACCAGGGGCTGGAGGTGGTGATGGTGGGGCCCGAGGTCGTCCAGGGGCCCATCATGAGGCCTCCGCTGAGGGCGTTCGGACCCCGGGGAAGAGTTTACATCAGCGCTTACAAGGGCCTTTACCACCAGTTCTGGGAGGAAGTTGTGGAGAAAGGAGAAGCAGCCAAACCAGATCTAGTGGTTGGATTTCACCCAGGTACAAACAACACATGCATACACAAGTATAAAGTTTGGGGTTGGTAAGATTTAGACTTTAATGCTCATCAAGGCTGCATTTATGTAATCAAAAATACAGTAAAAACCAGTAATACTGTGAAATATTACCATTTAAAAGAAGTTTTCTATCTTCTATTGTCAGCATCATTACTCCAGTCTTCAGTGTCACATGATCTTCAGAAATCATTCTAATATGATGATTTGCTGCTCAAGAAACATTTCTGATTATTATCGATGTTGAAAACGGTTGTGCTGCTTCATATTATTGTGTTATTGTGGTTTTTCAGGATGAATGCATTCTTGCTGAATAAAAGTATTCATATTTATTTAAAACATCTTATTGACCAAGCTTTTGAACAGTTGTGTACTTACGATTCCCTCTTATATGTTATCATATCAGAATTAATACTACTGTTGTGATTGAGCTTCATTGATTATGAACTTTATTTGCAGGGTTTGACGGACAGGAAGTGAGTCAGGATTGGTTGGCGACGCTCCTGCTGCTACGAGATTACAATATCCCGACTTTATTCACCATGATCAAGTATGTTATGACTAATAAACGTTCACACGTGCTGGACAGAACTCCATATCTGAGAATAACTACTGTTTTACTAACGCTTTTATCTATCTATCTATCTATCTATCTATCTATCTATCTATCTATCTATCTATCTATCTATCTATCTATCTATCTGTCGTTCTATCTATCTTTCTGTCTCTCTATCTGTCGTTCTATCTGTCTGTCTATCTATCTATCTGTCATTCTATCTGTCTATCTATCTATCTATCTATCTGTCTGTCTCTCTCTATCTATCTGTCTCTCTCTATCTATCTGTCTGTCTCTCTCTATCTATCTGTATCTCTCTATCTATCTGTCTGTCTCTATCTATCTATCTCTGTCATTCTATCTATCTATCTATCTGTTGTTCTGTCTCTCTCTGTCTGTCTATCTATCTCTGTCTGTCTGTCTATCTATCTATCTATCTGTCGTTCTATCTATCTGTCGTTCTATCTATCTGTTGTTCTATCTATCTGTCGTTCTTTCTATCTGTCTCTGTCGTTCTATCTGTCTGTCCATCTGTCTCTATCTATCTGTCTGTCTATCTATCTGTCGTTCTTTCTATCTGTCTCTCTATCTATCTGTCGTTCTATCTATCTGTTGTTCTATCTATCTGTCGTTCTTTATATCTGTCTGTTTCTATCTATCTGTCTGTCTATCTGTCGTTCTATCTATCTGTCTCTGTCGTTCTATCTGTCTGTCCATCTGTCTCTATCTATCTGTCTGTCTATCTATCTATCTATCTCTGTCTCTCTCTCTCTCTCTCTCTCTCTCTGTCTGTCTGTCTATCTATCTGTCGTTCTATCTCTGTCTCTCTCTTTCTCTGTCTGTCTGTCTATCTATCTATCTATCTGTCTCTCTCTCTATCTGTCGTTCTATCTATCTGTCTCTATCTATCTATCTATCTATCTATCTATCTATCTATCAATCGATCTATCTTCAGTGAAGCAGAGCTACAGACTTCTCTTCAGATATTCTTGGAGTTGGAGATGCATGTTAAGGACTCCGGCTCAAACCCCTTCAGCTCTCTGAAACCTGAACAACTGCCAAAAAGCCCCAACAAAGCACCCGTTTACTGCAACGCTCACTACATTTCTTTCTGTGGACTGCTGGAGATGAAAGAGGAGGAAGAACAGAACTAAAACTGGATATTTTAACCGAAACTTAACCTCTATTTTATTTAAAAGATAATGCTAGTGACTGTAGAAGACAGACTTTAGTAGTTTATGTGTTGAATGAAAGTCTACAAGTAGTGTAATGTTTGTTATGTGATGTTTTTTTTCCATACAAGGCTTATAAGAATGAATTTTGTTTAGGATCAATGCATTTAATATAATATCAAAATATATAAATTTATACAGTACGTCCAGCTGCCTGCTAATGTGTCTTCATCTGCATTTTACTCCTCCGTGAGTGTGCTTTACGTCCTTCAATGATGAACATAGTGTACAAAATCATTTTAAGATAAACTCTGCTTAGAATAGAAATGGCAGTTTAAACATCACTATATTACGTTTACAAAAATTGTATAGCAGTTTGCAACTATCAGGAGCTGTTTTTATTTGATTATATTTTATTAGTCTTTTTCAGGAAATATGTATTTATTATTTATTGAATTGAATATATAATGCAGTGTATATATGGAGAGAAAGAAAGACAGAAATGATTGTGTGAGTTCAAATAAATTGTACCTCTTTTGACATTGACCATTTTGCTCAGACCATTTTATTTGATTTGATCCAACATTTTCTATCCCATATTGTGGTAAAAATCAATCACATTTCCCCTGCAAGACACTGTATTGTATGAAACACCAAGACTTTATCTTTGAATTATTGAAATAATAAAATATTCTCATGAAATAGAACATCTGACTACTACTTGTTTTTACAATACACAATCAATGTCAAAACGAGGTCTGCGATGTAAAGCCCCAAGTTCACATACGTCATGATTGTGACGAGGTTGAGATCATGAACGCGATTCTCGTGGGTTTTGGAGTCTCTTTTATAGTTTTTATACCCAAACACAGGCCAGATGATGGCCGCAGACACGTACAGAGCTACAGCCACTGCGTCAAACACCAGCTCCAACTTATTGAGATCACAGCATTTCAGAAGGTCCACACACTTCTGCAAGTGTGTAAGAATAACCACCACGGTGGGAAGAAAACACACCACGTAGACCAGAATGCACCAGATCAAACCACCAGGGACTCGGTTTTCCACCCCTTTAAAGTGTCCGTAGACCGCAGTGAAGAGGAGACAGGCCACTAACGCCTGCATGAAGCGCAGGATTCCTCGTACTCTGGACAGATAACCTTCAGGACACTTTAGTTTCAACTTCACCCCGTCCAACACGTACACGACACAAGCCAGAATGGAGGCGATGGCGCAAATCATATCCGCGATACATGTTGCGCACACAAACACAGTGCTATAGATGAGAGAGGCGGATAACAGCATGAGGGATGACAGAAGGGTCAGTCCGCAGGAGAGATCGTCCCATGTGTGCTTCAGCACAAAGGTCTCGATCAGTTTATCCACCAGGCATTTCTCGAGAACGAAGATCACCACAGCCACAATGAGTCCGAAGACCCACACGAACTCGCACCAGATCCCGTACGGACTGGCCATGGAGCCGCGGAACATCGGGATGATCAGGGCCAGCGCGCAGAACACCATCTCGAGGATCCGGAGACACTGATGCAGACTCAGTCCGCACAATGCCATTGTTCTTCATCTGATGCCCAAAACCACTTAAGTGTGACTGTGTGAGCTGTGCTCAAGTGGACAGTTACTCCTAACGGCATGATTTGCATTGATAAGGTTTACACGCACCATAAACGTACGTGTGTGTGTGTGTGACTTATCTTTCTTTTCTCGGTTCAAATAAGCCTATTTCAATTGTAAGCTCTCTGACAAGTTGGTTTAGTGAGTGAATGAAAACAAGAGACACTAGTAGGCTAAAAGTGAAGGATGCTGATGCCCTGTTTCACAACACTCAAAAAACTTTTACTACTCAGTGTTTTTGATGAAACAATTTTACACTTAAAAATAATATAGATACATTTTTAACGCGATGAAATCAATTACATATAGCCAATAAATGAACTGAGAAAATGTAAGTAAAAAAATTAAGTAGATCTGAGTAACTATTGGTAGGCTACATTGACAAATAAAGTTGAGTAGAAATAATTGAGGAAAACATAATAAATATATATATATAGCCTATATATGAGTAATATTAACTGTTTTTATTTATGAGTAACTTTTATATTAACTTTTAATTTCCTGTAAACCTTTGTAAAATACTCCACACAACCACAGGTAACGTTATAGCCTAGCCCTAGGCCTACATGACATCGGCCTTTATTGTCGACAGCAATACAGCATATTTTATACTATCAACCAGAATAAAACTAAGGTATTACAAACAATTTAATGTCAAGGGCCCCCAAATATGATGATGCTGTTATTCCTCTTATGTTCACCAAAGCAACAAAATACAGTAAAAACAGTAATATTGTGAAATGTTATCAAAATTTAAAATCCCTATTCTCTGTTTGAATATATTTTAAAATGTAATTTATTCCTGTGATGCAAAGCGGAATTTCCAGCATCATTACTCCAGTCTTCAGTGTCACATGATCCTTCAGAAATCATTCTTAATATGATGATTTGCAGCTCAAGACAAAATTATTATTATTAATGTTGTCATATTTTGTGGAAACCATGCATGATAAATTTTTTAAAAACATTATTTTTATACTTTTAAAACATTATTAAAGTCGTTACTGTCACTTTTGTAGTTTAATTTAACTGCAGATATTTAATTCTTGCAGTTAAAAAACTACTGCTAAAATTGTTAATAGTGTAATAAAAAAAGCTGAGACAATAGTAGCATGAATACCTTTTTTTTTTAAATGCATTTATATTTTTACATGTTTTAAGGTATTTTTTTGTACCAGGTTCATGAAATGTGACGCTGGTTCTTGCATGCATCATTGATGCAATGTTAACGTGTGTGTCTTTCTTTCTATTCCTCCTAAAACTGATGCATTTTAATACTCCAGCATGAACACATGCACAGCTTCTGATTCTAAGTCTGTTCTGGAGGTTCTAATGTGTTTAGATTTGTGCAATAGATTAAAATAGAAATAACACAGATGGTAAAAACAATCATTTATTTTGAACAATCAAGCATTTTATGACAGTAAAATACCGACTATATAGAAACATGAACAACAGCATGTTAAAATACACTCCTAAAGAACGGTTTAGCACCTGTGGTTCCATGAAGAATCTTTAACATCCTGTCTCCTCAAAGCTTTATAATGGCAGTGAATGGCTAGAGAAAATTTGAAGACCAAAAAAGTGCATCCATCCATTATATGCGCCGGGGGAAATAACGGCCTTCTGAAATGAAGCTCTGCATGTGTGTAGGAAAATACCTATATTTAAACCTTTATAAACTATAATCACTAGCTTCCGACAGACGGCCGTACGCATCGATTTAAGGTGGAAGAGTGACCTCTGACCCGACGCACAACGTAATGATAAACGCGGAAGCTCAGAGGAAAGAGCAAAACAAAACACTGGTCGCGAATTAGCCATTTTGAAGAGAAATGTCAGAGTATTTTTTTATATAATAGAAGAGGAGCTTCAGTTTGTTGCAGAGCCCTATTTGTTTAAACTGGGAGAGGCGTCTAAGCTTATGATACTCCTACATCCTACATCATACATGTGTCACGGGTTACTCTTGTGGCGCAAGTCGACTTGTGTATGCGTACGGTCGTTATTTTAGATTATAAAGTTATAAATATGGATATTTTTCTTACAAAAACCCATGGCTTCGCTTCAGAAGGCCTTTATTAATCCCCCGGCGCATATGGAGGACTTTTATCACGGATGGATGCACTTTTTTGGTCTTCAAATTTTCTCTAGCCATTCACTCCCATTATAAAGCTTGGAGGAGACAGGACATTTTTTAATATATCTCCGATTGTATTCGTCTGAAAGAAGAATGTCATATATACACCTATGGCTTCAGGGTGAGTAAATCATGGGCTAATTTTCATTTTTGGGTGAACTATCCCTTTAAGAACTCTTCCATGAATGGTTCTTTGGGGAACCCACAGAAAACTCTCTCTTTTTTAAAGAGTGCACAATAGTGATACTATGAAGAACGTTTAAATCCACAGATTCCGCAGCAAGTGAAGACAAGGTCAATGATGTACAGGCCGAGGTTAACATAGGTCATGAAGGTCACAACAAACTGGATGCCCCATACGCAGCTGTATCCTGGACAGTCTTTGGGCCGCGGGTTTCCTCTGAAGCTGTAGATGGGCCAGAGGATTGCAGCAGAGATGTACAACAGAACCGATATAATCAGGAAAAACATGCTGAAGCGATCAATGCTGAAGGGCAGACAGTTCTTTATCTTGGTCAAGATGTTGGTGATGATGATCAGGAGGGTTAGAGGCAAAGGAATGGCGTAGGCCACGATGCACCACAGCAGAGCCGGTTTACCCACATAACCGATGAGGGAAATGAGGATGATGCAGGCGACGAAGGCCTCGAGAATCTTAATGAAGCCAGGAAGCGCAGCCACATATGTTGCAGAGCGTGTCGCATCACATTTATCTTTGAACGTCTCCATGCAGTAAAGCGCGCAACACACCGCCGAGAGGATCGTCACCATCCAGCCCCAGATGCACTTCCGGCAGACGTAGAAGTTGGCGAACATCACCGTGCATGAGAACGTGCAGAGCGAGGACATCATGGCCATGCCGGTCGAGAAGTCGTCCCAGTCCATGCAAAACACCAACAGCTTGTGGATGAGGAACATCTCCAGTATGGTGATGACCAGTGTGATGACAGGACACAAACCCCAGATCACCATGCAGTAGATCCAGTAGGTGTGTGACGGGTAACCCCAGATGTAGCCCACCACAAACGTCACCACACACACCACGATCTGCGCCATGTGCAGGGCGCCGCGGGAACTCTTCAGGGAGGAAGGAGTGAACTTTGCCTTATCCATCGTGAAAGTGCGGTGGCTCTACAAGAGGTCTGACGGCGTTATAGAAACGAGCTGTTCTCAGGGGAAGATAAAAATGCAAAAGACACTACAACCGTCCCACGCCAACGCTCCTCCTCAGCCTAATGTATAGTGATTATCAGTGGGGGAGTTATGCAAAAGTCAAGTCACATTTATTCATATAGCGCCGATTGTTTCAGCGTAATAGGAAAATAAGTGTTGCAAAATGTATGACTTAAAATGAGTTCACCCAAAAATGAAAATCATCCCATATGTGTACTCACACTCAAGCCATGATCATATGACTTTATTTCTCCAAGCTTTATAATGGGAGTGAATGAGATTTTGAAGCCCAAAAAAGCACATACATCCATCATAAAAGAAACCCATGATACGACTCCACTCGACTCGCGTAAGGCCGTTAACGAAAACAAGTGATTATAGTTTATAAAGTTATAAATATGGATTTTTTTCATGCAAAACCGCATGGCTTTGCTTCAGAAGGCCTTTATTAACCCACTGGAGCAGTGTAGATTACTTTTATGATGGATGGATGTGCGTTTTATGGCTTCAAGATCTTCAAAAAAGGTTCCATTCACTCCCATTATAAAACTCGGAAGAGCCAGGATATTTTAACTCCGAGTTCGGCTGAAAGAAGGAACTCACATACACCTAGGATGGCTTGAGGGTGAGTAAATAATGGGATAATAACCCAGCTGTAAACCCAGCTAACAAAAGTATGTTCTAAGAGCATTTTGCTAACGTTCCTGTTATTTCTGAATGTTCAAAACGTCCATTTAAAAAAAATGTTTATTCTTGGTTGTGCAAACATTAAGGAAACATTCCATTTTATCATTCCTCATACATTATGGAAATGTTACCTTTGAATGTTTTCTGAACATTTAAAAAAAAAAAATGTTACATGAACTTCCAAAACATTATAGAAAAAACCCCTTGAACCAATGTATAAATAGATGGTTGCAGTGAATCAAAATTTTGATTATGTTATGTCACAGCTTCCGTAAATGTTAAGCACATGGACCCTGGTATAAGAATCCCCCCCCCCCCCCAATTACTTATATTCATAAATGGTTAATGGGAAAGTCACTGAATTCAACCAAGATATTAGTTCTGAACATCTTTACCGGGTCTGTTTCTTTCAGAAGCAAGGTTGTCCGGGTTAAAGTTGAAAGTTGTAAATGAGAATGAAATGGAGGAAAATAATAGTCAAATGTTCCACAGCCGTTGATTATATTTGACTATCTTTGTTTTTTATTTGACAGAATCAGATTGTGGTGTAGAATTGTAAGCTCAATCTATCCTTCAATAAATTACCTTCAGTTTACAACTTAGCACATTATCCTCAATGCTATTGAGTTTTAACTGGAAGAACATCTTTGAATAATTTTAAGAAACCGTTTATGTCTTTGACTTTATTTAAATGTGCCTGTGATAATCTAAAAGCATGAGATTGTTTATGCTAATGTAATGTAACAGTTGCTTTTGCTGCAGAGTAATCATGCATATGTTTATATTCATGTTCATGTGTTAATAATAATGCCTGAGAATCATACCGGTCCATCAGCTAATGTTTGTTGCAGCCTCAAATCTCTGAATGTGAATAACAGTGAATGTACCAACAACAGACGCTTTATTTGCAGACAAACAGGTAATTGAATTTGTGCAATATTAAATTATTTATCTGCTTTTGAAGGTTATTAGTAATCAGGTATTCAAGTGAGTCGCTTTCCTGTTGTCCTTGTTCCTCATTAGCCATGCATGATCATGCATAATCATTATATATTATGCTGGATTATATTACTAGGTTGAACTGCTGGTCAACCACATCCATAATCCCAGAACTATTTTAACATAATTTCTGTAAATACCATGAGATATTCTTAGATTATATGATGCTTTTAGTGAATTATTGTAGTTGTATACCTATTCCTTGTTAATTTAAAGGTGAACACTATGTTTTCAGAGTTGTGCGAGTCTATAAACTCTAGGAAGGCAAGAACTGTGTCCGTGCAGCACTGCAGTCTTGATTGAGTTATCTTAATGACTGTCATGTGTCTGCGGATGTTGAGTACAAGGCCAGCCGTTGTCTCATTACCAGAACGACTCGACCTTTTAGCCAGTGAGATGCTCATAAAGCTGTAAACAGGTCAGCTGATAGGACGGCCTTTCACTGGGATTTTCCTTTTTCTAGTAATGGAGAATGCAAAAGAGTATCCATGCATTTCTGGGTAAGATAGATAAGTATATTAATAGAGTAATCATAGAAAACTAAATAGCAATGTCCATCGATTTGACTGGTTGTGTATAACCATATACACAAATTACTCTATTATTATATCTTTATATCATTAAAATGTGATAGATAGACAGATAGAGATAGATAGATAGATAAAATATATAGATAGATCTCTTTCTCTATTTAATATATAACTAGCCTATATATCTCTGTAAAAGCCTCTTCTTCACCCAGCGTGCACTGTGATGGCAGTACTCACTGCGCATGCGCACACAATCACAAAAATGCCCGCTGCCTGACAGACAGTCGAAAGCAAATCAGGTAAGACGTTTCATTCAAAGTATTATTCCAGTTTTGACATTTTCTTAATTCCACTCATCTATTTGCGATTCATGTACTTGAAGTGCTGCAGTACAGACTTTTAAATGGCTTCGGCATGTAGTTCAGTTTACACTGCCTGCACATTAGCTGCACGAGCTATTCACATTAGCTTAATCTGAAGCGTCGCCGTTTCATTTGCACATCTTCATGAATTAAAGACATGTTTAATAAAAACGACTACGCCATAGAGCTGTCAGTCTGCTGAATGTGTTTAGATAACGTACTTGTGTGTGAGTATCTATAACGTCATCTGTCTGTCAAGTATACATCAGGCAGATTTGAACGAGGCTGTGCGTGTCAAACTGTTTATGTCTGTCACTGAAAGTTGACGTGAAATATAGGCAGTGTTTGTGGACATTAGAAGCATTAGAAGAGCAGCAAAGCGCGTGCCAGGTGGGCTTGACGGCGCGCGCGTGAGGCGTTTCTCTCGCTCGCTGATTGGCTGCTGACGTGCATCGTCATCATACTTACTATTATTCACTATAGATATTTAATACCGTAAAACTATTACGTTTTGACAGAATGTTTCTGGAAGCTTCTTACATTGTTTAAATAGATAAAATATTTATTTATTATGATTTTACAATGCCTACAATTAAGTGTTGTACAGTTAACTTAATATACAGGGGTTTTCAATCTTTTAGATGCCACGGACACCCAAATATGAGTGGCCCCTAAAATGTAAAAGGCAACTATATATTTTCACGCTTAAAGACCCAAATAATACTGTGAAAATGTAATACTATAAATATGTGTAAAATATAAATTCTAAAATATCTAGTTTCTGTTACATTACATCATTGCATTTCTTTCTACCTACTATGGTATTTAATTGTACTGTTAGATTATTTTATATCCAGTTAATTTATTTGTTTGTATATTTTAATTTGCATGTTTTGTTTATTTAGTTAATTATTAAATCAAATTTGATTTATTTTAATCAATTTATTATTTTAATAAAATAAAGTAAGTTTAATTGTTTTTTTGCTTCTCTCTAAACTTTTCCAAGCACTCATTTAGTACAGTGTAATTTACATGGTTTCTCTGAGATAAGGTTGGACGGGGTGACCAAAAACTACCATGATAAGAGTAGATATACTTTTTATGGATTACTATAGAAAAATGTTCCTCTAAAGTCAGTGTTTTACTATGAAATCATGTCATTTTCATAAAATGGTATAATATGCTATTATAATAGGTTATGTGATTCTGACACTGTAAGATACTACAGCAGCAGGTCGTCCACCTGTCCTGGTGTAAATGGATTATAGCCACTTGACCCCTGAGCCTTGACCCTTGACGCACTGATGCTATTATGCTACATAAGCAAATCCAATAGAGTATTTTTGCTTAGTTTGTCCTGAATCTGCTAGTTTCATGTTGTTGACGTTCTATGAGCTCCGACGTCACAGCAACTCTAAAGTACAAGAGTTTAGTGTCTGCACACGCTTATAAATCCCTTAAAATAGAGAGAGAAGGAGAAAACAGAGTAATTCGCCTTTGGCTAAGCCCCGCCCCCCTTAGTTACTGTTGCTACGTCCGACAAACAAACTTCATCTGGGCTCTGGTATCAACATGGCTTATGCTGTGACAGCTCTTCCTGCTGAAATTTGATAAAACTTTTATAAAGCAGCAAATCAAGTGTCCAATAGAAGTAGGCAAAAGGGGCTGCAATATACGTTCGAAGGCTATATTCACGACATACAGGTGAAACGCAAGGAACAACAAGGCATCCAAATAGAGGCAAAAGCATACCGGTCACAGTCAACAAATGACCCACCGCATATCCTACTAATCGAGACAGAGGCTGGGACTAACAATATCAAGGAGCAACACTGTTCATGCAAAGCTGGGTCTCTATTCACTTCTATAATCGTTATTACAAAGCAAACGGACTACGCGAGTATAACGTTGTTTATTAGCAGCGTGTGCTAGACGACACTTGTCAGGATTTGACTTCGGTTTGGGAAGGGGAAAAAACAGACACCCCCTCCAACCTCTCTGGGAAACACGTATCTGTGTTACAAATGCCCCAGGCACAACGTTTAACCATATTTTTGATAAAACTACGAGACCAAAAATATGAGACACCTGTGTTAAAGTCAATGGAGCGCTGTGAAAGAGTGTCGGACCTCTGTGGGAGCTCGTTCTTGGCTGCGCTGTGATTGGTCAATCTACATACTAGGGTGTGGCTTAGCCAAAGGCGAATTGGGAAATTCTGATAAACTGAGTCAGAAAGGCACAAATACACAGACGGACTTGCAGGAGGCTTGAAAGTCAATGGATGTGATTTTTAGGGCATTATTTTTATGTCCCAGGGGCATAAAAAAAACTAAAAAACGAATATATTTCAACTTTACACTACCACCATTTAATAGTTTGGGGTCAGTACGAATTTTTAATGTTTTTGAAAGAAGTCTCTTCTGCTCATTTATTTGATCAAATAATACAGTAAAACAGTAATATTGTGAATATGAAATACAATTAAAAAGAACAGGTTTCTATTGGAATATTATATTGTAAATGGCAATTTATTCCTGTGTTCAAAGCTGGATTTTCAGCATCATTACTCCAGTCTTCAGTGTCACATGATCCAAATCATTCTGATATGTTGATTTGTTGCTCAAGGAACATTTATTATATTATCAATTTTGAAAATAGTTTCATATTTGCTATTATTTATTTATATTTATGCATTTGGCAGACTCTTTTAACCGAAGCACTTACATCGGATGCATTTTCTAAAGTTTAATGCATTATTGGATATTATCATCACCATTTTGGGCATCCTTAATTACTGTTATGTTCATTCTTTGTCATTAATGAAGGAGATAATGACAATATTTCCTCTCTTAACAGCTGAAGCAATATGGCCAGCTAGTTTCTCTCTCTTTCTCTCTTTCTTTGTGCCGGTTGACGTGTGAGGTCAGAGGTCATGGCTGTGGATTGTGGTGTGTTCGTGGACTGGTCTCAGATGGACGATGTGTCTCGCGACGCGGCTCCCGGTAAGACCGAATATAAAGACATAAAGGAGTTAAAACAGCACGCACGCTCGGGCCAGTGGGGCAAAAACCACAGCCAGCGCTCAGCCGTTTACCAGCACCTGCTCAAAGCCCTCCCGTGCCGTACCGTCACCCCGGATGCCGAGGTCTACCGGGACATCATGGGGAATTCAAACAGCAAGCGCAACCCATCCGCGTACCTGTTGCCGGAGTTCGTGGACGGGATGGCAGTGCCGCGTTACTGTCTGAAGGCCGAATCCGTGGGATCGGTGCATGCTGTGATCTCCTGCGTGGCAGGGCAGTTCCCGGATATATCGTACTGCCCGTGTTTGCCGGCGGTGACGGCGCTGTTGCTGCACTGGAGCGCGGATGAAGCTCAATGCTTCGAGAGCGTCAGCCGCATGTTAGCTTGCAACGAACCCGGGCGGCGTTTGTTAGATCAGACTTTCCTCGCATATCAATCGGCCTGCATGACCTTCGGTGACCTCGTGCATAAGTACTGCCCTGCTGCGCATAAGCTGATGGTTGCCACTGCGACGGACGTGCTGGAGGTGTACTCTGATTGGCAGAGGTGGGTTCTGGGCGACCTTCCCTTCAGCTTCGCTGCGCGCGTGATGGACGTGTTTTTGGTGGAGGGGTACAAGGTTCTTTACCGCGTCGCACTGGCGATATTGAAGTTTTATCGCAAGCAGTGTGTGGCTTCCGGCTCGGCCTTAACCAAGAAGGAGTCGGCGGCGGTCAGGAGTGAAATTCAGACCTTCGTGCAGAACATCGGGAAAAGCGTGACGCCGGAAAAGCTGCTGGAAAAGGCTTTCTCCATCCGCCTGTTCAGCCGCAAAGAGATCACGCTGCTTCAGCTGGCCAATGAGAAATCACTCCAGCAGAAAGGCATCACCGTCAAACAGAAAAGGTAGACATGACAGTTTTTTATCATCAATATTCGCAAGCAAAAATCTACAGTCAAACCAAAAATTATTCAGACTCCTTGCTATCCTCACTTACATGAGTTAATAACTATAGTGTCCTGCACCCACTAGTAAAAAAAAAAAAATCAAAATCAAATTTATATCTGGTGTCTGATTAATTTTTGGTTTGACTGTATATAAGGGCCAGTGACAAATAAGGTTTTCAACTGATTTAAAATTCAAATAGGTTAAAACTGCACATCAAAGTACTGTAGTTATTATCTTTATGGGGATGTTTTTTACTTATTACTAAAATCTCAATTTTAAAATCTTTAAATCTAGAGATTTTATCTAAAATATCTAAAATTGATCTAAAATCTCTTATTTTAAGCGGTTTAACTGAGAATCATGTGACTACACCAGTCAAAATGTCATACGGGATAACGTTAATGCATTATCTAAATATTATAATCTCTAATAATTCTTACAATTTGTAATACCCTCAAAATATGTTCATATAATTTGATAAACAGAGATCAATAGATTCAATAAATGTGCTTTTTATTAAACATTTCCTTATTTTGACTTCATAAAGGGGTTTGGACATCAAAATTGCACGTCACGTCATTGGGCCATAAACCTGTAAATATTCCTGGAATGTCCTAGAAATAACACCTTAAAAAAATCTGTTTTTGTATATATACATTTTTCTAGTTGCTCAAATCTGAGCTATTACTCTATATCTAGTAAATTCTCTATAAAGTTGTTTATAAAAGTATTAAATCACTGTCTAGGTAACGTAAATGGAATTTCTTGGTCAAAAGTTGTCATGAAACAGAGGTGAACTGTTATTTAGTAAGACTTGAAAAGTTAAAAGGGTTTTACATGAAATCGGATTAAAAATGCTAAATATAACTGCTTATGTCTGAGACGCAAATTTGATGCCACTAGCTGAACTAAACTTACACTAACCTTCAAATGTTTGGTGTCTGTAAGATTTTGTTTTTGAAAGGAATTAATGTTTATTCAGGAAGGACACATTGAATTAATCAAAAGTGACATTTATAATGTTACAAAAGATTTAAATAATATTTCAAATAAATGCTGTTCTTCTTAACTTTCTATTCATTAAAGAATCCTGAAAAAAATGTATCACAGTTTCCATAAAATAATATATTAAACAGCACAACTTTTTTCAACATTGATATTAATCAGAAATGTTTCTTGTGCAGCAAATCATCATATTAGATTGATTTCAAAAATAAAAATTGTGAATAGATTAAATATAATGAGAAGATCAACTTATTGTCAACATTTTTGAGTTATTTAGGGCTGTGTCTGTTCATATTAAAATGTATGTTTGTTTATTAAGTATGTCTGTTTATATCTTTTGTGTTTGGCATCTTTCCTCAGATTACATGTTTGATTTTTTTATTTTCCCTAATTTTATTTTATTTTCTCACATTATTTCATTGTTTTTTCGTTTCTCCTGCTCTCCACAATCTCTGTGCTGTCCTTTAGTTCTATCAGAAGGTGGGTATCTTCATCTCTCATCATCCTCCTCCTCACACATTTCTATTTATGTTTTTATCTTGTTAGTTTACTGATGCACAGTGAAAAATGGATGATTTAAAAAATAACAAGTTTGAATTCTCTCTATTTATCTCTCTCTAGGCAAAATGTCCATTTAGCCGTGAACGCAGATAATTTCAGCTCCGAGATCGTCGGCGCTAAAGAGATCCGAGATGTCTGGTCGTGGATCCCGGAGCGTTTCGCTTTGTGTCAGCCGCAGCTTCTCTTCACCACGTCCACGCACGGCTGCAGCCTGAACCGGTACAAGTGCACTCGGACACTCAAGCCACACTTAAAGCTGCCGTCGGCAACATTTTTTTGATCATATTCAGTGAAATCGACACTATAATCCGACAGAACAACATAAATAAAGTGGTTTTAGAAAAAAACCCGAGCTTCTAACTCCACCTGGAGCGTGTTATTTGTTTTGCAAAAATCCACAGCTCCCGGATCATCGGGTCCAATCAGCGCAGGGGGGTGTGAGATCTGACTGTCAATCACAGATCGGGCACACGCCACCCCTCGCGCACGTTACAATCACATGCACACGCCTGAAGTTCGCGCAGTAACGAAGAGTGATTGCGAATGTATCTCGCTTTCAAAGCACTAACAAATCAAGTAAGCTCATTTAGAGTATAAATGACGTTAGCAATTGCAATCTATCGGTAGATAAGCCAGGACAGCATACCTCCAAATACTCCATGGTGTTGATGGATGCTGATGAGACGGGCGCGTTCACAGATAACCTGGTGCACACGCACTGACGAGCACGAACTCGGTGGGAGGGTATCCGTTGATAGTGGTGGAGGGGCATGAGAGTTGTAAACATTCAAAATTTTGCCTAAGTCCACTCAATCTGCCAGACTTGCCGACTGCAGCTTTAAAAATGCATGAATGCATATCTAATTTCATTAGATAACAAAATATCAAAGCAAGTAACCTTACTTTAAATCAAAATGGACAATTCCGGGATATTTTATATTTCCGGAGTATTTATTATAAATCCAAATTTGTTTCACGTGCCTCATAATCTTTCATTAAAAATGATCCCCTCCCTCTTGCAGCAACATCTCTTCTCTTCTCTGATGATGTTTATTAGCAAGAAAGGGACAAATCTGTCAATCACATGAGATCCACCAATAGCAAACCACAACGATTCAATCAATTCCTCATCAAAATCAAGCCCCGCCTTACATTTTTTCTGATTCCAGACTTGTTTCACTCGTTAGAGAAGAAAAGACTATCGCAGCTTTCATTTCATGCCAAATTTAAAGAAAGATATTCTTTACGCTCAAGAATATTATTCAAGAAGTCATCATGAGTAATAACTGCTGCCTCTGAGTAATAGTTATTACTCAGTTAAACAGTTTAAGAGCTGAATGACCTTTTGAAAGTTTTTGAAATATTGTCTGTGATGTTTTATTTAGGTTTTATTCACATTGTGAGGGATACGAGCCGACACTAATGCTCATCAGAACTACAGATGGAGAGGTACCAAAACTGTCTCTTTCTCTTTATTCTGTCATTGTATTTATTAATTTAGCACAACTTCAGTTGAGTTATGCTTTAGTTTCTGTGAAGGTAATCTATGTTAGACATTACATTATGTACATTTAAAGTGAAAATTTAAATAAGTGCATGAAGAACTCATTCCGTTTGTAACCAGAAACCCCAAATTACGTCAGCTATAATAGAGCCGTCCAGGCCAAAAGTCATCCTTTGTTCATTTACTATGGTGGTTTTAGTTTTTTGAGTGAAGGTCTGTGGTTATTCTTGCATATTATGTAGGATTGATAGTAAGCGAACTAGGATGCAGGGAGGTTGTTCAGGATGAGAAGCTGCTAGTCTGTGATTGACACACCTCTCATCCAATCATATTTCAGGTGTGCGGGGCCTTCCTGTCCACTGATTGGGAGGAGCGGAAGAGAGGCGGGAACAAGCTCAGCTTCTTTGGCACTGGAGAGTGTTTCGTCTTCACAGTATGTCACATTGTGATACTCATTGGTTTATGCACATATATAAACAATCAAATTAATTTGATTATCAGTAAATAATAATATAGAATATAAATAAATAAAAAATTAAGGTATTAGTTGTTACTGAATATCTAGAAATGATTGTTTATATTTCACTAGGTGGCGCTATTTTCTTAAGTATTAGACTAGAGTGCAGTGCATTTATGTATCAAGTTCCTTTCATCCATCATCGTTTCATCCTGTTTCACTCTCAGGGGACTATTTTATAGCTCTTTGGTAATTTAATGGAGTTCTTGGTTATGTTTCTATTAAATATGAACTTTGTCTCATGTTGGTTCTCCTTTGTAGGAATAAAAAGGACATAAATGAATCATAGTTACAATATAGTAAAATTAAAAGGCTATACATTTATTGTGGATCAGATGATCTTGAAAGGAAAGGCAAAATTATTTCTATAAATTTAAAGTCCTTTGAATTAAAAAAGAAATTAAAATGTTGCCATACACAGTAAAAGTGATTAAAAATTAAATGTACATATAAATATAAATAAATAAACAGCATAAATAATTATTTATAAACAAATGAAAAATGATTTTAAATTGTATTAAATAAGAATCAGATTAGAGCCCTGCACGGGCCTCAAATCTAGGCCCTAGCCCGGCCCTGGCCCGAGACGCTCAGGCCCTAGCCCGGCCCGTGTCCGACAGCTCATTAGAATGATCAGCCCGAGTCCGACCCGAGCCCGTAAAAAAAAAAAAAAAAAAAATTCACAGCCTGCCCTAAGTTGCAGTCAGTAAAACTGATATTTTTTTCTTCTCAATGGCAAAGTATTTACCAGTAAGTTTATTTTCATTTCTTTATAAAGTTAATTTAGAAAAATGTTTTTTTTTTTTTTATGACGACCAAGCAGCCGACAGTGAGTTAAACATGTTTGATCCATTTATAGCCTCTCAAATCAACACTTTACTTGGCTACAATACAATCCATATATATAAAACAACTTAAGCATATCACACAGACAGTTAACGTTTGTTTAAACGTTTATTGTCATTTTTGAAAAGCTGAGGCAAACTGCTCTGCTGCTCAGTCGCAACAGCGCTCGCAAACTAAATGAGTTTACAATACAATACAGAGAATGCAATCTAAACAAATCAAATAAATTACATTAAAAACAAACATGCAGGTTATCTTACCTCAAAAATCAAGTCTTCACTACAGAACATGGCCATTCTTATTTCCAATAGTTTTCAACAGACTCATGAAAATAAAGTCCAATCAAACAAAAAACAACCTCCTAACATGGCTAAGAACAGTCTCAGAGCATCGTGAAGAAAAAGCACAGCATCCACAGTGGAAGGTTTTAATCCAGTCGTACTTTTTCCAGCTGCGCTGAAGTCACGCTCGCCACCGGGACACTAAACACAGAACGAGCCGGTCGCACGAATCTCAGATCGCGCCGCCGGGAAACCTGTGCGTGTGCGTGAGCAGACTGTCATGTGTCAGTCATGTCAGTGTGATAGGTTATAAAACGTCTTTCTATGTTTGCTTTTCAATCGTCATCTTCTCATATTTTATTTTAATTAATGTCTAAAATAGGCTATAAAAAAAGATAAGCCTAAAACAGGCCCGAGGCCCGGCCCGCGTGTGAACTATGACGTGAAAATTGGCCCGAAGCCCGGCCCTAGAAGCGTAAATAAGTCGGGGCCCGTCGGGCTCGGGCTGAAATGCAGGCCTCTAAATCAGATCAAACCTTAGCAAATTGTAGCACAACTGAGACGTTATTGAGATCTTTGAAACCCTGAAAGGTAGTAAAATGGTAAATTGCCGTGTTCTTATACTATATGATTAATTTTCATTTAGCAGATCTAAAGAAGCTTACATGGACAATATAAGGGTCCAGACCTTAAACCACAATGTAACACCCCAGCATGTATTCAGATTTCACTTCCTGACCACAAGAGCACTGACTGGCACGGTCTGCTCATTGCTGTTGTGTGTTTTCAGAAGTGACGTGACACAAATATATGTGTGTAACATGTTGTACATGTTTGTTTCAGATGAAGCCAGAGATGGAGCGTTATGAGTGGGTCATCATCAAACACCCAGAGCTGGCGAGTGCGGCCCAGCCCGCAGGCGATGAACACACCGGTGGCGAAGACAACGGTGGACCTCTATCTCTAGAGAAACCAGCCACAGACCCGTCTCAGCTGTCCCCGTTCCTGTCTGCTCGACACTTCAACCTGAACTCGAGGAACACCTCCATGTTCATGGCAGGAAACGTCGACTCCATCATTATCGGTCAGTTAGATACTCATTTCTCTCTAATCAGATTTGTGTTATTATTATTTTTCTCTTCACTTGAAATATTCTTACAGTAATATTCTTGCACAGATAGTGAATATTCACCTTTAATACTGATATATGAAAGACTTAATATGAATGATACAAAATTAACAAACATTCTAAATAACATCGATCAAATTATGTGCCTTATATTTGACTATTAATCTTTCTAAACATTTAAATTTGGCATTTGTTCATTTGGCAGATGCTTTTATCCATAGTAAACCTGAAGTGTCAGTAGCTTTTCATAGGAGAGTGTTAAGATGGAGATATCATATATTTAATTTATATGTCTTTTATGACATGATATATGATTTAATATCATGTTTGATTTAAACCTCATTAGCAAAAACGATCGATTCTGAACAGATTCAAATCTTTTGAACTGCAAGTATAAATGATTTGGTTCACAACTCAAGGATTAGTTCAATGTTTAGAGGTAATTTATATTAGGTAATATATATTTTTTTATATAGATAGTGTTTAATTAGTGTAAAATATATACAATTTATATATATATATTAGGGCTGTCAAAATAACGCGTTAATTTCGATTAATTAATCTGAGAAGAAATAACGCGTTAAAAAAAATAACGCAGATTAATCCATTGATCCGTTTTGACCTTTGCGGAGCCGTTCTAGCCGTAGCCACCATTCGTGTAAAAAGAATGAGGGAGACAAGAACGCGCTGCTTGGATCATTGTTTGGAACATTTACTTATAACAAACGGAGTTCGTCAACTCTAAAGTACCACATCAATGCAAAGCATCCAGGAGTGTGTGCGTGAGTCGGTGAGTGTGTCTGAGAGAAAGCGCGCTTGTGTGTGTGTGTGTTGTAACTTTTCACGCGCTCTCCCGTCACCAAGGCCAGATTAACCATTAGGGCAACTGGGCACTTGCCCAGGGGCCCACGACATCTAAGGGGCCCTGGGCAGCAGGGGCGGAGTGGCAATCGGGAGAGTCGGGAGTTTCCCCGGTGGGCCGGTAGTGTTTCGAGGCCGCGAGGGCCGGTCTGATAAAATGTATTCATTCCAAGTTCGCCATGCGCACTTGTGGCCCAAGCGAGGGGAAGAAAAAATATATTTTAGATAAAGGAGCGTATATTTGCACTAAGTGCCTGTCTTTAGAATAAAGACGCCCGTCACGGAATAGCTACAGTGGCGTAGGTCGTAGCGCTTGAAGTGCTTGAAAGCTGCTTTTTGATGCACTCGACCCGAGTTCGAATCCGCCTTTTGCCGAACTCTCTCTTCCCAACACATATGAGATTTAAAATGTATAACATAAAGGTCTCTAGCGTTATATTTGGCCAACGAACTAAAATCGAAACCATGATATGGCTTTGTGCCTTTATAAAACAGCACAAGACTTTAAGAATAGGCATCCTGTGTGTGCTGCGTGATTTAAAGAAAAGTGCGCTCTTTGCTCACGCGATCAGCATGGTTATCTGGTGTTTTCTCCTAAATAAAAGCTCAAGGGTTTATTTTTTGCAAGTGAAGAAATTAGGACAAAGGTATTTTAATTTCCCTGTATTATAGTGTAATGTAGACTAAAATATACTTTTGAAATATTCATTTTCATTTATATAGTACTACATTTATAGGCTATATATGGATTTTACGTCATAGGAATAATTATATAAATCATTATTACATTATTATAATAATTGTTTGGCATCCTAAAACACCATTGATAATGTAATGTAGACTGAGACTCTCATAACTAAAAAGATGTTTGAGCCCTCTTTAATGTCCAGGTACAAATCAATGCTTTTTCTTTGTTCAACGAGCAGGTCATGGGTTGAAGCTCTTAATTTTGATCTCTCAAAGAGCACCAGATTGATGCATTTAACCTTAAAATGTACAAAATTTTCTTGCGGGGGAGCATGCCCCCGAACCCCCCTAGAGGCACAGAGGTCCACCCAACATAGTTTTACAAAATCCTATGGGAAAAAACGACCCTTTATGAACTTTACTCCAGCATAGTACAACAAAGTTCCTTTTAACCTGTTAACTGTCACCCCCCTTTTTTTTAATTGACATGAAAATGCACATTTCGAACATAAATGGTTGTAATTCAAGAATGCTTTGGAATATAGACGTAAGATTGGTCTTGTTTTAAAGAAGACATTTGGCAGATTTATGTAGAAGTGAAATAAATTAAGAAAGTGAAACAGAAAAAAAGTTATAGAAGTTTGAGTTTATGGAAATGTACAATGTAAAAAAATTAATTATTCATATTTTATATAAAATATATATTTTCAAAACCTGGGCTACTCTAAAACTGCAGAAAAATCAAAGCCAAAAATCTGAACAAGTTGTGTTTCAAATTTTAGGTTGATATCTCAAAAAATGAGCTTTCAGTAAGATTTTGTTTGGGCGCAGTACCAAACTTTTTCACTAGGTCACAACCAGACTCCATTACTGCCCATATAAGGGCGCCTCCATTTCCAAATGTGTTTTGAGTGATATGAACCATTATTTCCACAATTTTCATACAATTTATGAAGTAGAGATCCTATTCAGAAGTAGTATGGGAAAGTTTGGCAGATTTTGATATGAATTCAACCTCTAATAAACACATACAAAGAACACGCATGTGCGTCATAGCTCGCTGCCACATCACAAATGGTGAATTTATAATTTTTTTCTTTATATTTAAAACATTTTCAGACCTTTTTTTCTAAAATAATTGAATGGATGCCATCTTTTGAACTCTTGGCATGAAAACAAACTAGGTTTCTACTATTTTTTTATGATTTTTCATGTTCATTGCTATTTCAAAATAAAGGTCTGAACACGCCTAGGAGTATGAAAATATTATTGTTGCAAATTGATAAATTACGGCTCCTCTGTAATTTATTTTGAAAATCAATCACCAAATATGGAAACTAGAGATTGTAAGCTTTCAAATGATATATAGTTTGTCAATATTACTTAAGGTTTTAACTAAGATATTATTGTTTTAAAAATATAATGGCAAACGTCCCACCTGTGGGACGGTGACAGTTAAGGGGTTAAGTCAGTAAAACTGTAAATGCCGTTTTAAAATGTCCTTGGACAAAATATACATTTGGCCCTAAGGGGGGGCCTACAAGACATTGTGCCCAGGGGCCTCTGAACTCTTAATCCGGCCCTGACGTCACACAACCATTTTCTCACGCACAGAAAAATCACGCACCAAAGAGAGGACACGGAAACAGACAAGACAGAGCACGTTACTTATGATATTTAAAAAATCTCAGCTCTCAGATTCTGTCAATTTTATTACGAAAATCAAACAATAAATACCGTTTTGGCGCTTGTAAATGTGACATGAGTCATGACAGATCCCATAGCGGCACGTGAACCGATCATCTCTAGCTAATAGTAAATAAACACGAATGACCAATGTTGAAAGATAAAGTAGGGCAGCCTAAAACTTACCGAAATGTATATTCCTCGATCAATCAGTGTTTTTCGACCGCGAAAAGAGGTCAATAAAACAGCTGGAGAACAATTATGTCACATAACATTTAGCCTAAGTTACCTCAGGAAAGCCATTTCATGACCATATAGCACGTTATAGTTGGCTATAAAAACAGAGCTATAGAGAGTATTTTTCTAAATGTATGTAGCCTACTACTATATTACATATGTATTATATTTTTACTTATATCGAAGTTGGTATTTGTAATAAACACGCATTATATTTCATTTGAGTTATTTTTAACCTTAAATACTTCCAGCTGATATGGCTCTCTGTATTTTTACAGCATTGGGTGAGATTTTTTTTTTCTTGAGAAAAATGAATGCCTATCTTGTGTACCTATTTATCCAAATGAGTCAATATTGCATCAAATCACAAGAATTAAATTATATTGAAATCGTGAAATTTGTGTCAAGCAATAAAAAAAAAAAAGTAGCTTACCAGAAATTGTACCATGTAAACATTGTAAGATTGTGTATGCGATTAATTTAGATTAATTAATTACAGAGTATGTAATTAATTAGATAAAAAAATTTAATAGATTGACAGCCCTAATATATATACATTGTAAAAAAAAATTTTTTTGAAGTTGCAGATAAAACAGATGATTGGAGTATGTTTTACAAGAAAATACTATTACAGGTTTTATATTTCAAAATATCACATTTAATTCAGTGGGTTACTTGTTTTGTTTGTGAAATTTACTAGCAATATCTGAGTGAAAATTGTTTCTACACCAAATTTGTTTGTATAGATAGATAGATAGATAGATACAATTTAACTTTTACATTTAAATGTTTTACTTTTGTTTCTTGCATGAAATATTTTGATTGTACTTGAATGTCCAAATGATGCTTCCTCTGATTTTTGAAACCATTTCAGCGCAAAAAAACATAAATGTATGAATGTATGAAAGGACATTTATTGCCCAGTCTTAGTTTTTCTTAAATCCAGTGTTATTTGAGTGGTATAGTATATAGAAAGGAAGATAGCCAATCTTGGATACTGGATTCTCTATAATTGGATGCATTTTGTTGTTTGTGAAGGAGGAGGGGATGGTAACGCTCTGTACATCGACTCCGAGCTGAACCACGGCCGGACCGAACGCTGCCTGACCTTCGACAACCCTCCGCTGTGTGCCGAGAGCTTTCAGATCGCCCTGCTGGAGGTGTGGGGCTTCAGAGACGCCATGGCATCATAAGAGCGGCTCTCCACGTCTGCAGGAGACACTGATGGAGGCTGTGGCTGGAAGATCCTTTGTGTTGTGATAGACGTAATGAAGATGTGATGCTCCTCTAGTGCACTAAAAGATCCGCCCTGAGCTCCAGTCAAGATCTAATGCTTACTGTGTAAATTTATCAATGCAAAACATATGTCAAGGTTTTTTTTTGGTTAAATTTCATATCAGCAGAAGATCTGTGTTGATCTAGACCAGTCAAGAATCGAGTTAAAGGGATACTCCACTTTTTTTGGAAATAGGCTTATTTTACAACTCCCCCAGAGTTAAACTGTTGAGTTTTACCGTTTTTGAATCCATTCAGCCGATCTCCGGTTCTGGCGGTACCACTTTTAGCATAGCTTAGCATACATCATTGAAGTGGACAAGACCATTAGCATTTCTCAAAAAAAAAAATGACCAAAGAGTTTGGATATTTTTCCTATTTAAAACTTGACTCTTCTGTAGTTACATCGTGCACTAAGACCGACGGAAAATGTAAAGTTGCGATTTTCTAGGCTGATATGGCTAGGAACTATACTCTCATTCCTGCGTAATAATCAAGAAACTTCACTGCCGTACCATGAGTGCAGCAGGCGCAGGCACTTAGTCCCGGTCACGTTGGAAGTTACCGAGCTGGGGACTATTTTCAGGCGCTGCGTCATATCATTACGCCTGCTGCACTCATGGTACGGCAGTAAAGTTTCTTGATTATTACGCAGGAATGAGAGTATAGTTCCTAGCCATATCAGCCTAGAAAATTGCAACTTTACATTTTCCGTCGGTCTTAGTGCACGATTTAACTACAGAAGAGTCAAGTTTTAAATAGGAAAAATATCCAAACTCTTTGGTCATTTTTTTTTGTTGAGAAATGCTAATGGTCTTGTCCACTTCAATGATGTATGCTAAGCTATGCTAAAAGTGGTACCGCCAGAACCGGAGATCGGCTGAATGGATTCAAAAACGGTAAAACTCAACAGTTTAACTCTGGGGGAGTTGTAAAATAAGCCTATTTCCAAAAAAAGTGGAGTATCCCTTTAAGTTTAGTGTAGTACCATTTTCATTAATGCTGCATTTAGCATTTTATGCAGTTTGTAATGATCAATATCTACAAGAAATGAGGACCAGAACACTGGAGACTTTCCTGTTAAAGCAAAACCAAGTCTTGGATGTGATTCCAGGCAGTTGTCAGATATTTGTTGCTGTATTTTCTTGTGCGAAACGGACCAATATATCAATGTTTTCTCATTATAGGATTATATGATATATATATATATATATATATATATATTATTTTGAGAGAGTGATCAAAGTTTATCCGTCCCACATCCCTTTTGTTCTTCCATACATTTGAGTGCCAATTGGGAAAAACCTGATTTCTATGTTCTCAGCATAAGAAGATCGTAAAACATGAGCTTTTCATGAATCTTTAGTCAATACAGAATTACTTCTGGGCATTCAGCGTGCTTAAATGGCATTCCAATGTTCTTTTAAACCAGAAATTAATCATTCTGTCATCATTTACTCATTGTCCTCATGTCCTTCTAAACCTGTATCACTTACTTTCTTCCATTGCATGGAAGTGAATCTGATCAGGGCTGTCAAATTCATAAAAGGACAAAAAAAAAGCACTATTAAATTTAAATAATAATGAGACAAACACTATTTTTCATGTCTTTTGGAGCAATACTTTTGTAGCTTACGTTCAGAACAGACGCCGTGGATCTCAGATCTCATTTGCACATTCGCATATTCACGATTATAAACCAGATGCAGCTAGTTTGAATATGCGCTTGAGATTTGAGATCTGCAACGGGACTTTCTGTTCCTCGCACCACACTTGCTTTTGAAGACTGGAAATATAGTGCACAAACTGCTTGCTTTATAGAGCTTGACAGCTTTCATTGCACAGAAAAGAAGTGACCGTTTCTTTTTGTGCTCCACATAGGAAGGAAAGTCATGCTGGTTTGGAACAATATAAAGGTGAATGCTGTAAATGATGACAATCTTTATTTGTTTGTTTGTTAATTTCATTCATGATTTTCAGTAATGCACCATATCACTCCGTCCGTATATTAAAGAACCATGAATAAAACTAATGTGGCCAGGTTGAATTGCAATGTAAAGTGTAGTAGAGATTCAGTGTTTGTTTTGTTAATCATTTAATAGTTTTTGCTTGAATTATATGTATGATGGCATAATCAGCACTATTTTATGTGGAAGTATTACATTTTATGATTTATCTTTTTCTTTGCACTTATTGAACCTATTTTAAGTTGCCGAATGTTAGTCAATCATCTATGAATTCATATCAGTAATATATTGTTTGATGTCAGATTCTATGTGTATCAGTGAGGATATTTGAAGCTCATATCTTTGAATCAGAACTTGTTGAGGAGTGTGTACATTGTGATGTGTTACCATATCAAGTGATGTGTTTGTATGTTATGTGTCTCATTCGGGTGGAGCAGGTGTGTTTATGTGTTTAAAAAGTCTTAAACATGCTAAACTAAATTATAGTGTCAAACATGTAGTGATCTTGGATCTGCTCATAGAAGTCGTGAAGGACTGTTTCGGCACATTGGAATGAACCATCCATCCTGATTATGAATAAAAACTGTGCAAGATGTCAATTCTGTTGTTGTCCTCAGTTCTTCATGCATGTAACTGTCTAGTCCGTGTCCATTATCCAACAAAGTTCCCACAGTTGTGGAAAACCAGGGAATGTCACAGAATGTATAAAAATTTGATTTCCAGGCCTGGAAAAGTCGTGAAAATGTCTATGCATTTATTTAGTTAAAAAGGTTTTTTTTTTTTGTCTCTATAGAATGATTTTTTTATAAATCTGTATTCAGAAAATACCAACAATTGGAGAAAACTTTCCCTGTAAATCTCTCTGATATTAGCATTTTAACAATGCTATAGCTGTAGTATTTTGAATGATCTGCTTGTATCTGTCACTATTTTAATTATAATGTACGTACAGTACGTTTACTACACAAATAGTCAGAGTTTGGCACAGTTAGCAGTTTTTTTTTTTTTTTTTTTTATCTCTAACACAATACTATTAACTAAAATCATCGAGATCTTCTTAAGCCTTTTCTCTTCTGGTCTCATGATATGTGTGAGTTTGACCTTATAATGCAGATTCTCCCCTTGGCTAAATGAGACCAGACTAATTGATCTTCCCTCATGTTTCCTGAACAACATGTGTCCACCAGGCACTGACGCTCGGAATAAATATGGTTAATTACTATTACAATAGTACATTTTAGATATGCAATGTATTATTATATATATATATATATTTTTAAATATTAAACAATATATTAAATATATTTTAGTATTAAATACATGTTAATATATGTTTAATACCATGTATTAAATATTTAATTAAATTATTTAAATGATTATTTATTATACAAATATTTGTTTTTTTTTATTATTAAATAAAATATATATAGCATTATAGTGTGGGAATAAAATGTACATTAAATAAACATTTGTTATCTACCCCACACTATATGTGCTCATGTTTATTAACATATTAATAGGCTATGTGTCTAGAGTACAGTCTCGTTAAAGGCCATGGTGCAGGTTTTTTTTTTTTTTTTTTTTGCCAGTTTTCTAGTTGGTAATAAACATTTAAACAGTTATCCTTTGTATTTTATGTTGTAGGGGATTACAAAAAAGAAATATAATACGGAAAAGTCGGTGATGTGTTAGCATTTACCACTAGCCTAGCGAGGATTCTAATTTCTCCCACAATGCATTGCATGACGTCACATGAGGTACTCGCTGTTGGACAACAGACGAAAGCCCCGCCGCGAGTAGTAACTTAGCTAACGGTAGCTAGTGAAAGAGTGACAGTGTCAGATAAGTAAATATATCGAGATAGATAGATAGATAGATAGATAGATATCATAAGCATAACATATATAGATAGTGAGAGATAGCATAGCATAACAGCTTAGAGATAGAGAAGAGTAAGCTAGATAATAAGTAGACAAAATGGTTTATTACTGTGTTTGTGGCGGGTGCAAAAACTTTATCAAAACTGGACATGGGGTCCATTGTTTCCCCAAGGACAAAGGGAGCTTCCGAAGCTGGGTGCAATTTGTCAAGATTAGGCGAGCAGATTTTTCAGCTAAATTAGCTCTGTCGCCGCCTACTCGAGAATATGCAGCGCGCATTTCAAAGAGGAGGATTAATTTACCACGCAGGGGATGCCAAGATGGTCTCACTTAGTTTAAAGAGTGAGAGGATGGCTAAGTTACTTCCTACCGCCGTGCCGTCTGTGAATGCAAACCTCTCTGCTTGCCCTGTCCCGAGGTCGAGAGACACCGTCTGCCGCAAGCGAGATATTGCCACGGTAAGTTCATTCTAACGTTAATGTTTACAAGCTGCGTGTTAGCTAGCTCTGTGTGTATTTTGTATAGCTACCGTGTTCCCTTTGACACAGCCTCCACTACAAGCACGATCACTCTGACATTAGAAGAGCATTTTTCGTGATTCACGAATTTGAGCCAAAACAAAATTGCCCTGAAGTAAATGTCCATATCGTCATGAAAGCTTCATGGCTAGTGTTTGGATCAGTGGTGATGATAATCAAGCGGCTTTCGCAATCGTGTGTTTGCTTTTTTTGTGTTAGACTGCTACGGTTCTCTTTCACATTTGACCGTGACCGTGTCGTCAGGGCTGTAGTGGAGGCTAAACGCAGTTTACCCACCGCTGAAATTATGTCAGAAACAGTTTATCCACTTCTCACTTCAGAGTTTAGCTACCTCTCAGTAAATTCACTACCTCGTAGAGTTTATGTAACTTTACCACATGTATTACCACTAGTATTGGTGTAAACATTTAATTGTAACATTCAAATAATCAAATATGTTCTGAATTTCTTTTATGTATTTTTAAAACATTTAGTAGCGCATATCAGGGTCCACTGTACTGTAATCTCCCTGGCAATCTCGTAACATTCTGTTTACTGTTTATGTTTGCTATAA